TATTCTTCTGTTGTAAATAAGTCCACTATGCGTACTACTTATCTAATAATACAGAACAATATACCGTAATGAAATTACCAATCGGTCTTTTATTCAGAACGTTATCAGTGTGTCGTGTTCTTTGCTTGTGTAAACTATTATAGAAAGATATTTATGATTTAAATCTTACAAATTTACTTACTACTTTTTTTTTATTACCTTATAATATTAAATTTATATTGTTGTTATTCTAATTCCCCCTATTATATTATGGATATTGCTGTTTGATAACTCTTCATGTACGTTTAATGCGCGTGAACCTGTAGTTAGTAGTTTTTGCACCCTATCTACTTGTTAACATTTTGACATGGGATAAAATGTCGCCCTTAGATTTTCTGAAGTTGTCATCAGAATAAAATACTCATTGGTAGAAACAACAGACAAAATCTATCTGCTCCACTTCAATACAGACACATCTTTTCAACACAAACTATAAGGTTTGAACTTTATTACGGTAGTTCATCAACAACTTAATTTACGAAATTACAGAATATACTTGAGTAGATAACATCTGCCTACATTGATCTTGTAAATTTTGTTGGGAATATCAATAACCACGCATGAATGATCAATTTGCAGTTTCTTTGTATGTTTGTATGTACTAAATAAATTGAGTTTCGAATGTTGCCAGTAGTAACGTTATCTCAATGTATAGGCCTAGATATAAATCGCAAATAACATTGTATGTTGGTGTCAAAAGATATATTAGTCCTAATACAATAGCGTATTGTTGTAGACAGGGCATTGAGAGCTTGTTTACTTGCGCTATATAAGAATGAACTATATTATTATAATACCTCAAAATTTGGTTGGCTGGACTGGGAGCGACATATTCCTACTGTGCATAATTCCTTCTTATGCTAAAAGTAATATACACTAGGCCTATGCTACAACACCTGCTACTTATACTACTACTGTACTCCACTATGAATAGTCCACTAAATAGTGCTTTAAGTATGGAAATACGGGGTGAATACCGCATAGCTAGGCTTCGGCGGTATGCGCTATACAAGCAGTAACAACAATGGTCGAAAATAACAAAACATGTTAAACCATTAAAAAAAAAAAAAAAAAAAAAAGTAGGCTTCCAGCGGGATCGTGTGTCTACTGCCTTATACAGGAGTTTTTTGTTTGTTTTTTTTATCTTATGTTCTTCAATATGCAGATGTGTGTATTATTGTAGTGTAGCTGGATTTTTCATGAAATTTTTTTCATTACAATATTCTGTATAGGCCTACTACTATATTATACTAAAATCTCTTAAAAAATGAGTAACTCCTGGAGTTACCACGTTATGTCGTTGATCACGAAGAGAACTACCACGTTATAGAGGGCGTTCTTCAAATGGCGGTAAAAGGCGTTCGTGGCGAACGCGTGCTGCGTCTCTATAACGCGTGTTCGAGTTTCGAACGCAATTTTATTCGAGTTCCGAACGCTATTCGATTCAGAGCCGTAGATAGAGAGAGTTTGGCCAACTCGGTTTCACGGGATTCGATATACGCGCGTGTGATTTGGTGAATTGCAATCACATGACTTACACCAGCCATGTTGTCACCAAAACAAAACATTAAAACTATACGCGCGCATGCACCTGGGCTGTTTGGTAACGACATGGCGTCCATGCGCCAAGTTGGCCAAACTCTCTCTATCTACGGCTCTGATTCAATCTGATTTTTTTTCTCGTAATTTATTAAGTATGCTAAATAAAGCTTTGTCCGCTCTTATCAAATGCAATTATATGTTGATGTGCTGTGATCACCAAGAGCATATCCCAAGAAGTGTAAAAGTGAGAATATATTCCTGGAGGGACCTGATTAAAATGGCGTAACTAACAGTTCTTTGTTCATAACAAGGACGTGAATAAAAACTTCCAGTGCCACTTTGGAGTCAACTAACACTCACATTGACAGTTCAGCAAGTTGAGAAATATGTTTATATCTGATCCGTATAGACCTATTGTGGTGAATAATTCGATTGATGCTGCACTGGCTACTCGTGGTCCCAAGGGGCCAAGATTTCCAAAAATATTTTACTATTAACTACCATGGACAAGGTTTGCCAAATAGTGCGTACTGAATGCCTCCAATGGGGGACCTTACATTTATATGAATTAATTAATAATAATAAAATGTCTAAGTGGCATCAACATGCATCATTTGTACGTTCATCTTTATTAATAAATCATTGTTTTATGTTACATATGAGGCATGTTGTGGCAAAATGGCTAAGTTGTAGCAAAAATTTAAATTCAAGTTATTGGTATTGTCAGATACCTGAGTATGTGATCTTTAAAATGAGAGGTCATTCATTCAAATTGGACATTTCAAACTTAAGTTATTGGAAAGTGAAAGTACAGTACTTTTATAGTCAAGATGAACAGGATTTTCAGTAATTGCCTTTCAAAGTTATTTGTGAAAACATTGTTTAATAGAATGAACTATGAAAAATAACGTTAAATAAACAATTTGTTAACCACTTCCAGAACTAATACTTTGGGACATGATTAATAAGACATTAAACTGTTGACCTACACTGAAAAACAAATTTGGATTTTTTTGTCAATTTTTGAGCTCCCATATTTTAAAGCTCATTTACTCAATACTAGACTGTGCGACAACTTTACCATTTCGCCACAACATGCCTCATATGTTTGAGATTTAGGATGCGCACAGGCAGACATTATCATTTGGAAATGAAAGAGCACAGTTACTACTCTAAACTTACGAACATTATCGGAAGGAGAGATTTTTACCAACTAATAAGAATAAAAGTGGCATATGACTTTCGGAATCTGATACCTACTCTTTTAACTAATTTACTGAACACAGTATAATTACTAAAACACCAAAATCTGCTCATTGCAGGTCTTTCCATTATTCTGCTCCAGCATTATGAACAATCTGCCTATTAACATCTGAGAATGTGACCCTTTATGAACTTTTTTAAAACAATTGAAAACCTACCTGTACACTAAGTATTGCCTCCTTGGATTGATAACCTGTCTTTTAGCGTTATATTCTTGATGCAGATGACTTTTAATGACGTCATTACGTTCTACGTCCTACCGTCGTCGTGCAATCGAAAGCTCCCTAACTAAGAATCATCTGCAATTTTAATTTTTAATTTTTTTTTTATGTTTAGAGGTCCTAAAGATCATTTCTGGTAAATTTGAGCTCAATTGGGTATTTTTGAAAATTTGACCCTTGGGTGACCCCTCATTCCAGACTGGGGTGAATTAGGTGTCACTTGTTCTTAATGATCAAAGTTGATTGAATTCAGTCCAATCATTTGGCATTAGTAGCATTTTGGAATGTTACCAGCTAGAATAAATGAATAAAATTTGACCATAAATCCCTGAACACAATAAATACCCTACCTTCTGCCAATGCATATGTGTCGATGACAAAACTGTGCTATGTTATTTGTGACAGAAGTCTTTTATTCTTTTTTAAAGTTTTATTTCAATGACCCATGTGTGACATTTGACCCAAAGCGGTGAACACCTCATAAATATGATGTGACACAGGTCCTACTAACCAAGATTTATTGAAATCGGAACAACCGTTTGGTACTAGTAGCGTTTTAAAATTTTGCCAGAAAAAATATAAAAAATTACCCTTTAATGAACTTTGAAAATCTCTGAACACCCAATAGACTCTTGCCTTATTCCAATGTATATGTGCAAAGGACAAAACTGTGCTATATGTTATTTGTGAGAGAAGTAATCTTTTTTAAGATTTTTTATTTTTTGACCCTAAAGACCCCTAGGTGACCTTTCACCTTAAGCTGTGAACACTCCACAGGGGCGGATCCAGAAATGTCCAAAAGGGGGGGCCGGAAGCGGGGGTCGAAAGTTGGGCCAATTGAGACAACACTGGCGTAGGGGGTCTGGGGCATGCCCCCGCGAAATTTTTGTGTTCTAGACGCCCGAACATAACATTTGAGGCATTCTGGGCTATCATTTTTTTCTTTTTCTCTCTTTTTCTTCCTTTTTTCCCTTTTTTTACCTCCCAAAAGGGGGGGCCGGGGCCGGGCCGGCCCCCCCCTAAATCCGCCCCTGCTCCATAACTTTGAATAAAATCGGCCCTGTAGTTTGTCCCTAGCATAGCATTTTGAAATGTTGCCAGAAAGAAAGAAAAAGAAATAAAAAAAGAAAAACTGCTCAGAAACAGAACCCAGTTATGTTTGCACAGACTAGGTAATAAGGGACTTGTGGCAAGTGTATTTGAGCACTAGTGGCCCGAGAAGTATTTACTTGCTTAATAAAATAAATAAATGCCGTACAAATTATTTTTAGAGGGCTTACATAATTGATTTAAAAAAAAGAGAAAACATTTTATGAAAAGCTAAATAAATATCTTTTCTAAGGTATTTCCAATAATTCCGCTGTTTTACGTTAAAAAAAAACCCGCTTAAGACGTACTGATTTAACAGCAGTGTCAAGTTTAACCACTTTCAGCACGGTCTCTTTCACTTCATTGTATCAATTTTTTAAATCTTTATCGAATATATTTTATTGTTAAACGAACTTGTTCGAACATCGGTGAATAACATGTTACATGATTTGACCTGCAGGTCATTTTTCGTCTAATGTTTGTAATGCCAACATTTACATATCAATGAACGATAGTTTTTGCAAAATACAATAGCTTTATCGCATCATATCGAGATCAACTATAATTAAGCTGCGGCACATAGTCACAAGTCGCATTAGATGAAGGCATTGTTTTATTTAGGCCTATCTTACTCAAAATCTGTTGGGTTTTTATTCGGAATCTTCTATGTATTTATACTCCAAGGTTGAAAAGTATAACATCTTCTAACTTTTGGTACCACCTCAGGGTAAGTGATAGTAAAAACAGGGTGCGGTTCAACGTTAATAGCGTTGCTAACGTTACGTAATTAGGTACTACTACGACGACGACTACTACTACTATCACCACTACCATTGCAAAATACAATAGCTTTTTAGCATCGAGATCAAGTAAGCTGCAGCACATAGCGGCAAGTCACATAGATGAAGAAATTGTTCTATTTATCGTAAACTTAATTTGTTGGATTTTTATTCGGAATCTCCTAAGTATTTATACACCAAGGTTGAAAAGTATAAAATCTTCCAACGTTGGGTAGGTACCACCTCAAGGTAAATGTGCTGTCTCCTATCTCTGTATAGTAGTACTATATTGGTTACTAGGCTACGTTGCTAACGCTTTATCTATGTTTATGTTCGTCTGCGGTATGCAGATGAGTCTTGGGCATATGTTCATGTAGATGCTGAGTTTAGAAATAGACGAGACAAAACATTGGTACTGTTGTTAGTAGAGCTAGTACGAAGATGTATAATGCATAATGTAGCCTGCCACAAGAACAGTCTTTGTGAGTAATTAATCAATCTTTCTACGATTTACACTATATAATAACTTGCTAAAATCACAGTTATGTTTAACGTTTATATCGGATGATACTATAGCATTATATTACTATTGTCGATTACCAGTATTTCATATACCGTACAGTATCAAAGTAGGGCATAGGCTTATAGCTGTCTGTGTAGGCCCTAAACTTATACATAGGCTTGTTATAGACATTTAATGATGACGTTTTATTATTATAACTGAGCCCTATGTTAATATTTATCGTACTGATTTACGCCATTTATGTGGGGTGGCGGCCCCCAGGCTGTTCGATATACAGTTAAATATCTACACGTTATTGTGTGGATGTGGCTGCGTTTACGCTAGCCTATGCTTATTGCTATGCGTTTTTCATTTATATATTTCAGTTACCGCACGCACGCATACATTTATGTCATTGTTGATTAAACGGACTCAAAAAGCCGTACTTGTGTCTGTTGAGTTGCATTGACTGATTGTTGGTTAACTAGGTGGATAGCGGTCCCGGACATCCTCCGACGTGAGGCCAGCATAGCACCCCTTGACAAATATGCATCCTCTGAAAGTGCCTAAAATTCTCAAATTGTTTGTGCGCATTTCTTGTTACGGTAAGCCAATTTCCTCGGCCTTATAAATTGCACATTTTAGGGCCGACGAAATTAGAATTAAAAACACAAAAATTGTTAGGGTTAAAGC